ACATCATTAAAATGTCCATACTACCCAAAGCAATCTATAAGTTCAATGTTATCCCTTTAAAATACCAATGGCATAGGTTGGTTGGCGAGGCGCCGCAGCCGAGAGGTCCGGGAAAGTTTCTTTGGGGGTGAGGCCGGGAGCAGCCATGTCCCATGGCCCCAAGAAACCCGGCACGGGCGGCACCGCAAGGCTCCTGCAAAGCATGGGGGCCCGCGAGCCAGTGAGAATGGGGTCCCACGAGGAGGAGCCTGTGAAGAAGTGAGGCTGGCCCAAGGGAAAGAAGTGAAAGAAGATCCTGCCAAATGGCCGCAAAACACCTGTCACTGGCTACGTGCACTTCCTGAACCAGAGGCAAGAGCAGATTCGCACGCACCACCCGGACCTGCCCTTTCCTGAGATCACCAAGATGCTGGGTGCCGAGTGGAGCAAACTGCAGCCCACAGAGAAGCAGCGGTACCTGGATGAGGCCCAGAGGGAGAAGCAGCAGTACATAAAGGAGCTTCGCGCTTACCAGCAGTCAGAAGCCTACCAGATGTGCACCTAGAAGATCCAGGAAAAGAAGATCAAGGAAGAGGACTCAGGCTCCGGGCTCATGAATACCCTCTTGAATGGACACAAGGGTGGGGACTGCGATGGCTTCTCCACCTTTGATGTCCCCATTTTCACTGAAGAGTTCTTGGACCAAAACAAAGCTCAGGAGGCGGAGCTGTGGCGCCTGCGGAAGATGAACGTGGCCTTCAAGGAGCAGAATGCGGTGCTGCAGAGGCACACCCAGAACATGAGCAGCGCACGCGAGTGCCTGGAGCAGGAGCTGGCGTTGGAGGAGAGGCGGACACTGGCGCTGCAGTAGCAGCTCCAGGCTGTGCGCCAGGCGCTCGCTGCCTGTCCCTGGGACCTGCGAGACGCCCACACTCAGCACACTGGACTTCTACATGACTCAGCTGCACGGAGCCATCGAGTGGGACCCCGCCCAGCACAAGAAGTTCATGGTCCGCATCAAGGAGATCCTGGCCCAGGTTGCTAGTGAGCACCTATGAAGGTGTTGGTCATCTCGTGGGGATCCAGAGAAGACCAAGCTCTGCTCATGGCCCCCACCCCATGGAGGAGGGATGGGGGTCCACCCTTTGGGGCCAGGCCCAATCCTGCACCTTGGGAGCTCCAGCCCCTGACATTATTCTACACCATCCCCTAGCTTTCAACCTCCCCAGCACCCCAAATCCAGAAAAGTCAGCTGCCATGCACAACACACATAGAACCCCATGGCCTCACAGATCATGTCATACTACAGGGCAGTGGGAACACCACACATGGGCAGCATGACCCAGGACACAAGGGAACCAACAGCAACTCTCCACACTGGTGTAGGGAGGGTTGACAGAGGCTACAGTGGCTCTAGGGATCTGCCCCAGGACACAGGGCAGTGAAAACCCATACCTGACACACAAGGAGGGACTCCCCGAAGGTGCTGACCACAAGTGCCCCACACAAGTAGGCACATTGCAGGACATGCTCTCATGCTTGGGTGAGAGCCTTCTGCCTGTGGCCCTGGACTTCCTGCACCTCAGAATGCAATAAACAAATTCCTAAAAAAAATAAACTTATTCAAACTGACACAAGAGCTAGAAATCTGAATAATTCTATAAGCTTTAAATGTTCCCACAAGGAAAATATTCCAACAACATTAGTCAAATATCTTCTCCTTCCCATTTATCATATATCTGTCAACACAAACCCTAAACTTGGCAACTAGAACCACTGCCAAAGCTGGACAAAATATTACAAGTTTGTTTCTTTTACAAGGCTAATGCTGTCTCATACTTTGTTTTACATATTAATAAATGTGTAGGACATGAAGATTTGCTTTGCCTATAGAGCTTCTGGCATGTGAAGGAAATATTGCATAGACTAAAGAGCACTGACATGGGAACCAGATCTGGGAATTTTAGTCCTGGGTCTACCACTTACTTGCTGTGAGATTTGAATAATGCCCTTCAGCTACAAAACTCAATGACATTTACCTGCTAAAGTTAGGTATCTTTGCTATTAACAGCAAATAATCACTTTTCATATGGTTTATTTTCCACAAAATTTTTATGTAATTGAGAATATGCATTTAGAAATTTCTAGCTATATTTATGTAAAATAGCTTTCACTTTTTTCATTTCTCTCCTTTATTTTATTCCCCAAATAATATATGCCTTAAGCAACTTTAATTTCAGAATGCCTTCGAGGACAAAACTAAGCCACTTACAGGGAGGATAAAGGCAAGTAAAACATTACTTCTTATATTTACAAACCACTTTATTGATCGGAAGTGAAAGATGAAATGATTTTATTGTAATTTACTAATCAAATGATAGAAAGAAAAGTTTCAGAGAAACCAAGATGGCGGCACAGGTAAACACCGGAAATTGCTGCCTCCAACAAATTCAAAAATACAACTAAAAGACAAAACGGACATCATCCAGAACCACAGGAAGGCTGGCTGAGTGGAAATTCTACAACTAGAAGGAAAGAGAAAAGCACTGAGACTCAGAGGAGCTGAAGAAGTAAAGTGCAGAGGTACGGAGGCGCACGCGGCAAGGGCTGGCAACTGAGGACGTGGCTGTCTTTTTGAATCAGGAGGGAGTCACAAGCCCCCAACTGCTCTGAACTCCAATTCCGGGTGAGTCTCTGGGGACCTAGACTCATACGGGGAGAAACTGGACTGTCGGGCAGCGGGCAGAACTCGGAACACGAGGGTGGCTTTCTCTCAGAGGTGCTTGCAGCGATTACCGCAGGACACTGAGACGCGGGGCCCCTTAAGGCAGGGCTGAGGATCAGCCATAGCTGCTTGCTCCGCCCTGTTGATTCCCTGAGACCCCACTACACCCAAGCTGCGGCAGAGGCTTTTGCATATGAATGCCCTGGCCCTGTGCAATCTGAAAATTACCTAACAAACTGCAGTTGGGCCAGACAGACCCAGAACTTCCAAGAGAAGGCCCAAGGCCCCACAGCAGCTTGCATTGCTTCACAGCTGGGCCTCATTTGGGCACCTCCAAACCCCAAACAAGGAAGGGGAAACTGCAGATCTCTCCATAGTTCCTGCTGGGTAGCCTCAGGCAGAGGCTAAATTAGCACCTCCTTAGATCCAAGAGCCAGTGTAGCCAGTGGTCAGAGAGGGACCATCCAATTACAACTCCTCAGATCCATAAGGGACACACTCAGGGGGCAGACTCAGTGAGCACCAAAGCCCCACTGAAGCAAGTCTTGCCTCATAAGGGTGTCTTCAGCACAGAAGTTCTCCCACCGTAGACACAGCTGATTCTCACAGCCAATTGGCCTGGAGGTCAATTCCTCCCAGTGATACCTACAACAATCAAGGCTTAACTACAACAAGACTGTGCACAAAGCCCACAAAGGGGTGCACCAAGAGTGTCCACCTCAGGTAATTGGGGAGGCTGAGCCACTGAGCCCTATAGGACACCTAGCACACAAAGCCACTCTACCAACACAGGGAAGCATAAAAAATGCGGAGACAAAAAAACAGGTCACAAATGACAGAAATGGAGAAAAGCAAACGACTGGATATAGAGTTCAAAACCACACTTTTAAGGTTTTTCAAGAATTTTCTAGAAACCGCCGATAAATGTAGTGAGACCCTCAAGAAATCTAGTGAGACCCTCGAGGTTATGATAAAGGACCAACTAGAAGTTAAGCATACACTGACTGAAATAAAGGATATTATACAGAGTTCCAACAACAGACTACAGGATCACAAGAATCAAGTCAAAGATTTGAAATACGAAGAAGCAAAAAACACCCAACTGGAAAAGCAAAATGAAAAAAGAATCCAAAAATATGAAGATAGTGTAAGGAGCCTCTGGGACAGCTTTAAGCGTACCAACATCCGAATTATGGGGGTGCCAGAAGAAGAGAAAGAGCAAGATATTGAAAACCTATTTGAAGAAATAATGACAGAAAACTTCCCCTACCTGGTGTAAGAAATAGATTTACAAGTCCAGGAAGCGCAGAGAACCCCAAACAAAAGGAATCCAAAGAGGACCACACCAAGACACATCATCATTAAAATGCCAAGAGCAAAAGACAAAGAGAGACTCTTAAAAGCAGCAAGAGAAAGACAGTCAGTTACCTACAAGGGAATACCCATACAACTGTCAGCTGATTTCTCAACAGAAACTATGCAGGCCAGAAGGGAGTGGCAAGAAATATTCAAAGTGATGAATAACAAGAACCTACAACCAAGATTACTTTACCCAGCAAAGCTATCATTCAGAATTGAAGGTCAGATAAAGAGCTTCACAGATAAGAAAAAGCTAAAGGAGTTCATCACCACCAAACCAGTATTATATGAAATGCTGAAAGGTATCCTTTAAGAAGAGGAAGAAGAAAAAGGTAAAGATACAAATTATGAACAACAAATACAAATCTATCAACAAGTGAACCTAAAAATCAAGTGAATAAATAATCTGATGAACAGAATAAACTGGTGAATATAATAGAATCAGGGACATAGAAAGGGAATGGACTGACTATTCTTGCGGGGGGGGGGGGGGGGTAAAGGGGTGTGCGGGATGTGGGAAGAGACTGGACAAAAATCGTGCACCTATGGATGAGGACAGTGGGAGGGGGGGTGAGGGCAGAGGGTGGGGTAGGAACCGGGTGGCGGGGAGCTATGGGGGGAAAAATGAGGAACAACTGTAATAATCTGAACAATAAAGATTTAATTAAAAAAATAAAGAAATAAAAGTTTCAAATCACAAACTAAGAAAATTTTTCTTATAACAAGTATGAGGGAGTAGTTATTAAACTAAAACCATCATAAACTAAAAATATAAAATACTAAAGGATTACATGTAATAAAATTTAAAAACTAAGTATGAACTTTAAAAACCATTTTTAAGAAGAGTAAATTTTAAAGAGCTAAAAGTCAGTACAGTATATTCAATATTAAAGACAAAAATCTGTATTACAAATTAAAAATACTGAGAGGTACTTACCTGACGAAATATCTCCGTGACAAAGTTTACATTACTTCTTTTAGAAGAAAAAACTCTGCGAACTATTTCAATGTCTGTGAGATGTTCCTCATCAATACTACAGAGGCTAGATGAGCTAGGTTCTCGCTCCGTCAGAGTGCTTGTATTAGAATGAGACTGTTCTGGTTCTGTAGTTCTATCTGTTTTATCAGTATTATCATTTTTGTTTTCTTCTCTGGATACCAAACTAGCTGCTGCTCTCTAAAATAAAAACAAAATGGGGAAAATATAATCATTAACTAGGTATTTTATCTTCTAATAACAAATACTGGCAGAATCCAAAGAATTTATTCTTAACTAGAGGCCCGGTGCATGAAAATTCATGCACTGGAGGGGGGGTCCCTCAGCCCAACCTGCCCCCTCTCACAGTCTGGGAGCCCTCAGGAGCAGGAGGTGACCTGGCGATCAGGGGAAGGCGAGGCCCCATCACACCTCTGCTGCTGCCACTGCCGGCAGCACAAGCCTCGGCCGGCCCTGGTTACCTGAGCCTCAGGCTGGCCCTGGGCAGCTGAGGGGACTGGGGGACTCTGGAGGCAGGCACGTGGAGCGGCGGGGCCCGCTTGGGGGCAGGCCCAGCCTTGCTGCGTGCCTGCCACCCCGCTGGGGCTGAGGGGACTGAGCGCCACCATCTTTGAGGGCGTGGCAGTAAATTAGCATATTCCCTCCTTATTGGCTGTGGGTGCCACCATCCTTGAGGGAGAGGCAGTCAATTAGCATATCCCCTCCTTATTGGCTGTGGGCGCCGCCATATTTGAGGACAGGGCAGTCAATTAGCATATTCCCTCCTTATTGGCTGTGGGCGCCTCCATCTTTGCGACACATGAGTGTCAATTAGCATATTCCCTCCTTATTGGCTGTCGGTGCCACTCTCTTTGCAACTGTGTGAGGGTCAATTAGCATATCCCTCTTTATTAGATAGGATAATTAAATGACAATACAAGTGATTCAACATTTAAGTGACACAGTGATAGTTGCCACTAGTCATCTACCCATCTATAATTAGATTTGTTTTTCAGCATGTCTGTAGTACAAATAAGTTACTAATTAAAGCTGGGTAAGAAATTAATGCAGATAGAGTTAGCTCAGAACTTCAATCATAAATAAAAAAAAACATAACACTGGACTGCCTGTTCAATAAAACCTTAATGTTTAAAATCATCTCTAGACAAAAATTATACAAGTTTTAAACAAAAAACTAAGAAATTGAGGAAAATTTATAACAGAAATAGAAATGAAGCCAAAAGGTTTTTTTAGAAAAGTCTATATTCTAATAACAATAAAATTTTTACCATGACTAGAGATGAAAAAGTAAAAGTGTTAAGGTGGTGATGAAGAAATGACTACCATGATGTATGATAGGAGAAGCACTATTCATAAATTACTTTGGTAAGTTACTCAATTTTTGGTCTCAGTTTTGCCATCTATCTAAAATAAGAAGTTTTTAGGTAAATGATCTCAAATATGCCTTCCCAATAAAAAACTCTATGATTTTAGACTATTAAGTTCTGAGATCAGAAAAATAGTTCACCTTGAGTTTCCACATTTAATAATTCTTATTAGAGAACAAAGTTTTGGGGAAAACACATACATAGCCATATAAATAGAAGGCTAAGGGGACTATAAGTCAAATTTTCTAAATGCTAAGAAACTAATAACACATTATAATTCCACTTAATTTTTAAAGATTTAAGAAATCATACAAAATACACACAGTATAAGATTTTTAAAACTAAATGAGAAAATCTGAGAAAATAAAAATAAAATAGTAATATGGACAAGTTCAGGAAAAATGTACATTGAGGGAAAAATTAAAAGAGGAAAAATTTAATTAAAAATAACAGATTTTTAAATATTAGCTCCACCTTTGTGGAACTGTATACTTTTACATAACATTTCTGGACTCTGTGTTTATTAAAAACAACAACAAAAGGAATAAAATGGTGACAGAATTTTAAATCAGCATTCTATGAATGCCTAGAAATCTAACAAGAATTATAAAGTTCCTACAGCCATTTGATTGCAAACTGTTTCCAATTGCAGGAATTTATTGCAAAATTCAGAATATTTTTATTCATACAATTCAGGATATTTTTAGTACTATAAAATTAACATAAACTACAGAAATAAATTAAAAGCTGAGACTCAGCTCTGGCTGGTGTGGCTCAGTTGGAGCATTGTCCATACACCAAAAGGTAGCAGGTTCAATTCCCTATCAGGGCACATATCCAGGTTCCAGGTTCAATCACTGTCCTCCGGGCTCACGCAGGAGGCAACCAATCGATGTTTCTCTCTATATCTCTCCCTTCCTCTCTATAAAATCAATAAAAATCGTTTTTAAAAAAAAAAAAGCTGAGACGCAGAAATGACTGAAATTATCTTCTATACCTTAAAAGTCTTATATGTTTGCTAAGAAAACTATTGGTCCTATAATTTTTGTTAAAATTTAGATTTATAAAATATATTTATACAAAATTAATATTATTATTATTTTATTTAAATGTGTTCTACACCTAAAGCAAATCAGTGGACAAATCTCTTAAGCCATTTCTAACTTTAGCAAGTTATGAGTGTATTACCTGAATATTCTTTGGCAAGATTTCACCTTCCATCCCAGGAATATGAGGTCCTGTATGTGGCTTTGGCTCAAGCCAGAAAGAAACCAGCCAACGAATGACAATAACACGAGCCTTAATGAAAGGCTCCTTCGTACAATATATTGCTTCATTTGTTTCAGCATCCTTTTTTATCATGACATAATGTGGCTTTGGTCTCATCTGTGGAATATCTATGCAAAATAAAAGGGGAAAAAAACAAAATAAGAAAGGAAATATACTTAGATAAATCTACATTTTTAAACATTTGAGAAACCTCTATGATGATACCCTGATTTTAGAAGTAGATTTAGCACAAAAATGACATTTTAAAATAATTTGCACCCTGGTGGTTTGGCTCAATGGATAGAGCCTCGGCCTGAGGACTGAAGGGTCCCAGGTTCAATTCCAATCAAGGTACATGCCTGGGTTGCATGTTCAATCCCCAGTGGGGGACATGCAGGAGGCAGCTGATCAACAAATCTCTCTCATCCTTTATATTTCTGATTCTCTCTCTCTCTCTCTTCCTCTCTGAGATCAATAAAAATATATTTAAAAACAAATTTTAAAAAATTTGCTACATATAAGCATAGAATCTAGAAGAGTAAAACCATACATTGCTGATATATAGAAACATGTCCTTTTGAAAAATATCATGAAAAGGCTCAATGAATTCTCTCTAAGAGCAGAGAAACTTCAGAGCCATTTAGAATTAATGAAAGCTCATTTCAATTAACCTAAAATTGAGACATATTTTGAAGTTATACAAAACATGACATTTTTTTTCTTGATTTTTAAAACAAATAATATTCCCAGTGGCAAAGGCTTGCTACCTTGACTAATTTATTTCTACTAACCATAATGGTTTTGCCTATACCTGTTAGTTGCCTAAACTTGGCAGAGCTTAAAATAGAAACATCTTTCTCAAAAAGGACATTTTCACATAGAACTACCAATGCTTTCTATATATAGCAGATGTCTGCTTCTAACCCAAGATTTTCCCACGAGACTCTAGCTTTGAGGCTCCAATAGACATCTTGGCACTGCACTGCTACTAAATACTGGACAAGACATGATCAAAATAAGTGACAATGTAATTATTCATAAATAATTTGAGTAAGATATATTAAATTGAACTCCTGCAGAACCTTAAAAAGAAGATTTGTAATATAGTGAGACCTATCTCAACCAATAGGTGAGATCCAGAGAATAAGCTTTTTTTAAAAAAAAATCTCTTCACTCATTATAAAAATGTCCTAGTAATAAGTTTCCACTTTGGATATAATCTACATCTCTAATCAATCAATACAAATATTAAATATTATCAGTTTTCTGCAGGTAAAAATGTCAACTTTACACTGAGGTATGTTTTATTCTTAACTTAACATTGAGGTATGTTTTATTCTTATGCACGATCTTTTAGAAAATTCCAAAGGCTACCTACCAAGTACAGGATGATATAAACTGCTCTCCTTGCACATGTTTGGAAAAATATAAGACAAGTAGTACTTCTTAAAATGTGAAAACAGAAATGAAAATCCCCTTTCTTGATTTTCTTTGTTCTTCCATTCTAAACTTTTTACCTAAAAGATACAATTAGAATCATTCCAGGAAAAGGAAACAATTATCTATAATAAACAAACTTATAAAAGGTTACTTAAGCAATATACTAAACTATTACACTATGAAGATATACACACACACACATAAATATATATATGTGTATATATATATGTATATGTATATACATACATACATATACATAAATATATAAAGAAGAAATTTTAAAAACTGGTCTAATGACACACAAATACATTATATTCCAAAAATCTTAGAAGTTAAAATGTGCTCTGAAAAGCTGTCAAAGTTTATTTAAAACTCAGTTCTATTAATGACAGAGATACTAATGTTCTTTCCTCTTTGCCTTTTCTAGAATAATTCAGTCTAAAAGTTATACAAAGTATGTGAGGAGGTGGGGGATGTAAAAGCAGTGGCCACCAAGTATAGGTAAATAGAGCCTGACCACAGGAAGTAGGGTATCAATAATGGGAGTACAGCAGAGATAGCAGTAGCCAAGTGGGGACTCAGAATCTAAGAGAGATGAGATGAGGACAGTGTCCATGAAGTGGGGGGAGATAGGGGTTGGGGAGGAGCAGGAGGAAACAGAGCAGTAAAATATACCATGTGAGAATTCCAGTAGGGTGAGAAAGTTACCTAAGTAGGGGGATGGTAAAGGCAAAAAGTAGGCCACAATGAGATATCACTATATAATCACTTTAGAATGGCTAAAATTAAAGACTGACCATACCAACTGTTGGTTAGGACGGGAATCAACTTTAAGTCTCATACATTGCTGGCAGAATGTAAAAAGGTATAACCATTTAGAAAACAGCATGGTAGTGTCTTAAAAAGTCAATACATACCTACTCTTCAACCCAGCCATTCCACTATTAGGTATTTATCCAAGGAAAAGGAAAGTTTATGTCCACACAAAGACCTGTTTACCAATATTCATAGCAGTTTTACTAGTAATAGCCAAAAACTGGCACAACTCACATTACCATCAGCAGTTGGCTGGGTAACAAATTATGGCATATCACTAAAATGGAAAGCTACTCAGCAATAAAATAGACCAAATTACTAATACATACTATATAAATAATTTTCAAAATAGTTATGATTAAAAAAACCAGACCAAAAGAAAGCATATACTATATAATTGCATTTATATGAAATATGGAAAAAATGCAAACTAGAGAGACAAAAAATCAGATCAGTAGTTCCCTGGGGATGGGGTAGTAGAAAAGGATGGATTACAAAGGGATCCAAGAACTTTTAATGGTATAGATAGGTTCATTATCTTGACTGTGATGATGGTTTCATGGGTGTATACAAGTAATAAAATTAATCATATATATTTCAAACATTGCAGTTTATTGTATGTTAATTATATCTCAATAAACCAGTACAATTTTAACACTCTTTATTAAGTACAAAAGTCTTTTAAAAGCAAAACAAAACTGATAATACTAATGATAGTAAAAACTTCCCACTATAGCACAGCAGGTGTTGCTCAGTGGTTGAGCACTGACACATGAACCAGGTCACAGCTGGATTCCTGGTCAGGGCACATGCCCGAATTGTGGGCTCGATCCCCAATAGGGGGCATGCAGAAGGCATCTGACTGATGATTCTCTCTCATCACTGATGTTTCTATCTTTCTCTCCCTTTCCTTCCTTCTCTGAAATCATAAAAAAAAACAACTACCCACTATAGAACATTTTTTTATTCTAAGTTCTTTACGCTAATTATTTAAGCCTCAAACACCAAAATGAGATAGGCATGATTTTTATCTGTTTTAAACACAAAGAAGTAGTCTGTCAAAGGTCACACTATGGCAAGATGTAGAACAGGACTGAAACCCTAGCAAACTCATTCAGAATCCTCGTAACGTTTGAATCATAGAGAATTTTTGTGTTTGGAACAGTTACAAGAAATGTGTATGTGCTAAGAGCGTTTCCATCAGTCAGGACATGCCCATTTCATGTCTGTAGATAAATAGGTTGCTTTACAAAATACATGCACCTGGCCAAGCCAACATGGCTCAGTGGTTGAGCTTCGACATATGAACCAAAAGTTAAGGTTCAATTCCCAGTCAGGGCACATGCCAGGGTTGTGGGCTCGATCCCCAGTGTGGGATGTACAGGAGGCAGCAATCAATGACTGTCTCTCATCATTGATGTTTTGTCTCTCTCCCTCTCCCTTCTTTTCTGAAATCAATAAAAATATATTAAAAAACAAAAACAAAATATATGCACTTGAAAATTTTAAAAGTACAACTAGGTTTAAGAGCAAATTACATTTCCCCACTCCCACCCCATCCTCAGCCCACCTCTCTAGTTGCTGCCTCTTGGCAGACTGTTCCTTAATCAAAGATATTAGATTTTCATTTAAAGTACCACAGCTGCTAATTATAAATGAAAGTATTAGAAAGTAAACTCAATTGACTCACATAAGAAGGTATATACATGAAAAGTCTACTATAAAAATTTCTCCTTCTAGCTTCCTTTCTAAGAGCTTCATAATGTCTCCAATAATTTTTATTTCAGAAAAGACATATTAACATATTTTCAAAAGTAAAAATTTGTCACTCCTTCTTTAGGATAATAAGCAAATATCTACTATAACAGAATAATGGTAAAAGAAGGGAAGGGGGATTACCCACACAGGATAATAATGGGGTAATATCAAAGAAAATAACATGTACCTGAATTACTATATATTTTAAAAGTGCTTCAAGAAAATAGCTTGTGAGATCTTCTTGTCCTTTATCTCCTGATTGTGGGGGGACAAGAGGAGTGATTTCCTCTATAGTAACTTGAGCTATCCAAAGACAAAAAAAATAAATAAATTTAACAATGCAATAATATAACCCAAATAACATTTAATTGCAAAACATATGCAATACTGCTTGAAAACAGTCTAATGATTAAACCTTGAAATAAATCTGTCATTCTGATAGTCCATCACAACAATCACAAACTTTAATAATCAACTCTTTCATGAACCCTTGATTGAGGGAATGTAACACAGGACTAGACAAAGAGATATGTAGGAATTACGAGTAAATAACATCTCACCCTCGCTGGTTTAGCTCAGTGGATAGAGGGTTGCCCTGCGGACTAAAGGGTCCTGGGTTTGATTTCAGTCAAGGGCACACACCTCGGTTGTAGGCTCAATCCCCAGCCCTGGTTGGGGCTAGTGTGGGAGGCAACGAATCAATGTGTCTCTCTCACATCAATGTTTCTCCTTTCTGTCTCCCTCCTTTACACACTCTCTAAAAATCGATGGAAAAATATCCTTAGATGAGGATTAACTAACACACACACACACACACACACACACACACACATTCAAAAAAAGAGTAAATAAAATCTTATTTTGGAAAGACCTTCTCACGTTATTTTAAAATTCACATTAAGAGCATCTATTACAAAAGTTCCATAATAAGATGAGAAACATAAATAAGAATGTGCTCGTTCATCAATGAAAAGACAATCTGATTACTCTAGGTCAGTGGTTCTCAACCTTCCTAATGCTGTGACCCTTTAATACAGTTCCTCATGTTGTGGTGACCCCCAACCATAAAATTATTTTCGTTACTACTTCATAACTGTACTTTTGCTACTGTTATGAATCGTAATGTAAATATTTGATATGCAGGATGTATTTTCATTGTTACAAATTGAACATAATTAAAGCATAGTGATTAACCACAAAAACAATATCTACACTAATAAAAGAGAAACATGGTAATTAGCGTACGACCGCTACCCTTCCCATTGGCTAATCAGCATATCCTTATGCAAATTAACTGTCAGCCAAGATGGCGGCCGGCAGCCATGCACTGAAGCGAACAGGGAGGCTTGCTTGCTCCAGTGATGGCAGACTCCAACGTTCCCCGCCTCACTTGCTGGCCTCTCAGCTGCAACTCTAAGCAACTATGTTGCAAATATAGAAGCTAAACAAAACCCTAGAAACCGGCTTTCAGTCAGCCGGGCTTCAGCCAGCCGGACCACAACATTGTATCAAATACAGAAGGTAAAGGCCAGAAACCTGCTTTCAGCAGCCAAGGCCTCAGAGCTAAAGCTGGCCCAGAATAGAAAAAAAGGAGCAGTTGGGAGCTTCAGTCACCCGCCAGCCTGAAAACGGCCCTCAGCCCCTCAGCCAGACTGGCCAGGCACCCCAGTGGGGACCCCCACCCTGATCCAGAACACCCTTCAGGGCAAACCAGCCAGCCCCCACCCATGCACCAGGCCTCTATTCTATATAGTAAAAGGGTAATATGCCTCCTGGCACCGGGATCAGAGGAGTAGCGAGGCTCCCGGCACCGGGATCAGCGTGACAGGGGGCAGCGCCCAAACCCCCTGAACGCCCTGCGGCTCTGTGTGTGACAGGGGGCGGGGTCACAACCTCCCTATCCGCCCTGCTTTGTTGGTGACAGGGGAAGGCGCCCCAACCCCCTGATCAGCCCTGCTCTGTGCCTGATAGGGGGGAGCTCCCCAACCCCCTGATTGGGCCTGCTCTGCGGGTGATAGAGGGCGGCGCCCCAAACCCCTCCCCCCCCAAGGGCCCTGCTCTGTGTGTGACGGGGTAGAGCCATAACCTCCCCATCGGCCATGCCCTGACTGTGACAGTGGTGGCGCCCCAACCCCCTGACCGGCCCTGCTCTGTGGGTGATAGAGGGCGGCACCCCAACCCCCCTCCATGGGCCTTGCTCTGTGTGTAACGGGGTAGAGCCATAACCTCCCCATTGGCCCTGCCCTAAGTGTGACAGGGTGCAGCGCCCCAACCCCCTGATCCGCCCTGCTCTGTTTGTGACAGGGGGCGGTGCCCCAACTCCTCTATCAGCCCTACTCTGTGAGTGACAGGGGGGAGCTCCTCAACCCCCTGATCGGCCCTGCTCTGTGCATGACAGCGGGGAGCTCCTCAATCCCCTGATGGGCCCTGCTCTGTGCGTGACAGGGGGGAGCTCCCCAACCCCCGATCGACCCTGCTCTGTGTGTGACAGGGTACGGAGCCCCAACCCCCCTGATGGGCCCTGCTCTGTGAATGACAGGGGGCAGCGCCCCAACCCCCTGATCGGCCCTGCTCTGTGAGTGACAGGGGGCAGCGCCCCAACCCCCTGATCGGCCCTACTCTGTGAGTGACAGGGGGCAGCGCCCCAACCCCCCAATCGGCCCTACCCTGAGCATGACTGAGGGTGGCATCGCAACCTCCCAATCCACCCTGCTCTGTGCATGACAGGGGGCGGCGCCCCAACTCCCCAATCGGCCCTGCTCTGAGCCGGACCAGGGGCTGCACCTAGGGATTGGGCCTGCCCTCTGCCACCTGGGAGCAGGCCTAAGCCAGCAGGTTGTTATCTCCAGAGGGGTCCCAGACTGCGAGAGGGCACAGGCCGGGCTGGGGGACCCCCCTCCCCCCCTTGAGTGCACAAATTTTTGTGCACCTGGCCTCTAGTATATATATATATATAAAAGCCTAAGTGACCGAACGACCGTAAGGATCGTAATGACTGGTTGCTATAACGCACACTGACCACCAGGGGGTAGACGCTTAATGCAGGAGCTGCCCCCTGGTGGTCAGTGTGCTCCCACAGGGGGAGTGCCACTCAGCTGACCACTGACCCATCCCGGTGGCCCACCAGCCCGGCAGGAGCCACTCACTCCCTCAGTAGTCCTGCAGGTCCAATCTCCAGAGAACGAGCCAGGCACTGATGGACCAGGGCTGCTGGCACAATCCTGACATTGCCCCCGGCCTCCTGGAAGTTGGCCTCGGGCACCATAGCCGCTTCCCCTCCCTAGATGCTCAGCAAGCAAGAAACAATATAAAAGTGTCCTCCAGGTGGCTCCCCAACAACCAGCACGAATATTAATGGGACAGATTGGGTCCCAGACCAGCAAGGGCATCCCACTGCCTGCCTGGAGGGCCGATCGCATCCCAGGCACCCCCCCCCCCCCAACCCTGGGGACCCC